ACCAAAAGAAATTCGTGCTATGGCCATTGAAGCAACTGGAAGCAGCTTGTCCCATAATGTCTACTGTATAGTACTATTCAATTAACGTTCCCAATTGAACAGTTTTTTTGCACATTTGTTTCGTGAGGCTCGTCGCTGAATAGCGTCCTCTACGATGCCTGGGCAAGTTGTGACTGCGGCCAATGGGAGAAAAGCAGATTTCTCCAGAATGTGAGGATGCGTCATGTTTCCCGCGTTCGTGGCAGGAGACGCTGGCTCACAGCTGCGGAGATGGACGAGCGTTTTGGACACGAACTGGCCTCTCAAATCAGAGCCAGGAAGTTACTTGACCCCGAGTTGAAGGCTAAGGAAACCAGGCCTCATCCAGAGCTTCCAGACAATGAGGTGGGAAAGGGTTTTTAATTTTGGGTCTTGTGAGTGAATTTTTGAGCCTTCAGCCTTGATATACACGCCTCACATTTGCAGCGTATGTTCAACATGCAGTGCAGGATGTGATGCAATTTCTGACCCTTGTGCAGGAAATGATGCAATTTCTGACTCTTGTGGAGGAGGACCAGGAGACTGAATGTGAGGAGGAAATTGACCGGCTTTTCTCTTGTCTTGACGAGTCAGCTAGCGAATCATCCTCATCCAGTCCAGTGAAAAAGAAGCAGAAAAAAGACAAGAAAACCAAAAAGAAGAAAGGGAAGAGTTCGAAGGTCTCGGATTCTAGGGTGTACTACTCTTGGATTTCTTCTAGCACGTGATATATTTCGATATAATTTGTCTGCTTTTTGAACGCACCAGGCTAAGAAGCAAAAGGAAAAAAAGGAACGTAACAAGAATGGCAAGGGGAAGGATGGTGAACAGAAGGAGGAACAGGAGGAAGAAAAAAAAACCAAAGAGAAAGAACTGATCAAGAAAGCAAAGTGCAGTGCACAATTTGGTTCATTGATTGCATTTGGTACTAGTGGTGTAGCCAGTGTCAATGCCATTCAAACCTGGGCGAGGAGGCAAGGACATCGCTCCAATCTGCTTTGGACAAGTCTGAGGCAATCTTGTCTTATGTCAATTGAATTGTCCATGCTTTCTTCTTTGGCAGGTGAATGACCAGCTGATTACGTCTTGCGATGCTGCCCGTTTGGGCCTTGAGAAAGCGTGTGAGCCTCTCAAGGCTGCAAAGAAGCCCGGAAAGAAGCAAAAGACTGAGTGAGGTATTATGTGGCTTTAGTTCTTATACATGTATCAAGCACAGCACCTCCTTATACCGATCTGTTTGGATTATTTGTGTTGCACTTTGCACTACGTGGAAATGTGAAGGGCTTCCACTTTTGGCAAACTGCCTGGTTCGTTAGGGGCTAGTGTATCCCCTGCAGAGGGAGTCAGCCAAATGGGCTGAAGGGGGCAGGGGCAACCAGCCTAAAATCTTTTGGCACCCGCAGTGATTGGCAGAAACTGCCTTTTGAGAACTAGCTTCCTAAGACGAAATATTCAATATTGAACTGAATTTGTGTTGCGATAAACTGTGGCAGAGCCTGCGATATTTGGCATATGGTCTGTTGTGCCAGTGCCTAAGGCCGTGGATTTGGCACTTCGTGAAATCGAGAACAAACATTTGCAGAATATTTCATTCTAGAATTCTTGAAGCAAGAGATCACAGTACAGCAATCTTGAAACTTGACACAATGTTGCTTCTACTGAGCCGATGCAGGTGATAGATACAATGACCAAGCAATTGGGCCGATCCAGCGGCATGCTGTAGAACAACTTGCATCTAGTGCTCCTTGGTTGCAAAACATGTGCAATTATCTCGCGCAAGCCTAGAGCGGGGGCTCCTTGCCAATAAGGCGGCTTCGGCTCAAAGTTCGATGATGGGAATTCGAGCAGCTTTTGAGGACAGACATCTGAGGGTGGAGCCATATTGGAATCAGACGCTATGTAACCTAGTACTATCATAGCTAGTAGAGATGGATATGAGGCAAGGGAGGTATGTAGTACAAGAATTGACTAGAACTCACTACCAAATATGTGTGGTCAATTCGCATTCTATTTTGTGTTTCTTGGCAGGAGTCCCGGGGCCACACTACTGATTGGACTGAGAAGGTTGCGGGATATAAACCGGGAAAGAACTCCTCAAGAGATCTCTTCAGAAGAATACCTCTTCCCCTCGACATTTGGAAATAGATCTGGCACTGTTTTTCTTTGTGTGCTTAGTGGGTTGAAATCTTTTGGACAAGCACTTTGATGTCTTTCACCTTGAGGAACCATGCATGGTTGATGTCGACTTGAAGCTAGGGGATGATAAAATTGTGACGACACCTGTTCCGTGTATCTTACCAGAACAAATATTGGAGTTTCTTATTGACAAGTGTGACCTCAAGATTGATGAGAAAACATGCAATGACTACTGGCAGCATCTAGAGCTTCACAATGACGAAGTTGCACTGGAATCGAAACAATACCGCCAGCTTCAAGAGAAAGAGATCTGGCCGATTGGCATCCATGGTGATGAGGCCAATATTGGCATCATCAGCCAACCATACAGCAAAGTGATTGGGATGACATTGAGCATTCCAGTTTACCGTCCGAAGTCAACGAGAATCTCGCGATATTTGATGTTTGCACTCGAGAGCTCTACCTTGGTTGACGTTGTCAAAACAGTGAATCCTATATTGAGGAGAATAGTTGACTCATTGAACAAATGCACGGAAAGTGGCATCTTGGGGAGGAAATTTATATTGACAGAAATGAGAGGAGACCAAGCATGGTTCTATTTCTTATTTCAACACAAAGCACGTTGGACTTCGATCAACATATGCTTCAGATGTGGAGCTCACACCAGGCCTGACCAAGATTGCTATGCTTTGTACGATGCAGGGTCCACCAATCGCAGATCAACAAGGGAGTTCATCATTGAAGAGTTGCCTACAGAGGTACTGAGCACCTTACCATGAATAATAATACTTGTCCTACTCCAATTTGGCAAACCACTTGATATTTTTGTGAAAAGGAATCATGGAACAAAGTTCAACCAAACCTTGATTCATGTGCCTAGTGTCAAACATACTCACCAATCCAAAGGGATGTTAAATCTGTTGGGTAGCAATGTGGACATGCTACACATGGAAAACGATCGTGATACTCGTGGTCTTGGCAAGTGCCAAGCTCAGGTCCACTAGTGGATGTCCATTTTTTTCAATCCATTTGGTGAAGCATTGCACACTTCATATACTCAACCTGGGATTGCTCCATGTGTCCAATGGCTCCTGCCTGTGCCCTGTTTGCACGCAAAAGTTTTGGGGGTGTTGTTGTTTAACCCATTTTGAATGGGGTAGTGGTGTTGGGATGAACTATGATCCTGGAAGGGCCTTGCTACTCCATATGAACTACTTTGGGCCTGTGCATACACGTGGCAATCCAGTGGCCTACAAGGATCCTTTGAACACAGCATATGAATCCTTTCAAGTTTGGAGGGCAGCGCATCGGATCCCTTCGAGTCAACGCAGATTCAACTTCTGGATGGTCTTCAGGGAGGAGTTTGGAGCCTACCTCAACACAAAGGGATACAATGCCAGAGTGATATCTCTATGGTTGGAGCATGAGGTTGAAACTGCATCTCGCAACCCTCCGCCGAATCTTATCCCCGACGATCGATTGCAGCTTTCCTTGGCAGCGCTGAAATTTGGACCAAGTTCAGCTACTGTACACTTTGTGTGCTGTATGTTTGTTCTACCCCACGAAAAGTGCAGAATATGTATTTGCTTTTTCAGTGCTGCTTACAGGAAAGCTGTGAACCGTTATTGCGGCTTGACGGAGAGAGCCTGCCGTGCGTTGCCGCCCAGCTCGAAGACCATAGCAATCCATTTGCGCTAATGGGAATTGACATCTTCTATAGGGTATACAGTTTTCCCTATATGTTCAACACCCTTGTACTTTCTGCAAGGTCTGTGGCACAAGCTACCAATATCGAAGCAGCAGGGCGAACATATTTGGAGGCTTATCGGAGGCTGAACTTGATGTCAATGAGGAGCTAGGGCTTTGAAGGGTCCCAAAGTGATGATAACACGGGTGTTTTTGTTGAACGGAATAGGGGTTGCAGTTTGCACTTGGGGGAGGAGATCAGAACTCTTCTGGACACTTATTCCCAAATGGCACGCATCTTGTCCTTTGGTGTTTAGCTTTGTTTGGTTTATCCTGAATCAAGTAGCCTCCCTTTGGGAGCTTTGAGGCATTCGCTGAAATGCTGCAAACGGTAGTGCGTGAGAAATGTACCCCGGTCGCAGTTTGTGTTGAATCGTCCACGTTGGATGTCTTATGTGTCATCATTTCCTTTAAGGCCAAAATCCCCGATATCAGCACACTTTTTGCGACGAAGATTTCATGAGTGTTCTCAAAAGCGTGGTGCCTAGTTCATTCAATCCTGTTGGATATTGATCAGTGTGGTTGCACCATGAATAGCTCACTCTTGAGGCTGGGCCAAGAAATCTGAAAGCAAGGGACGGTTGACCACTAAAGGTGGCAAACTGTGGGGGATCTTGCGCTTAGCCCGCTTGCGATATCTATCGCTCACTTGGCGCGTTCGTGAAGCAAGAAGCCGAGAACATCGGCGCCGGCAATGACTGTGTTGGAGGAAAAGGTATAGTTCTTTGAGGAAAGTGGTTGCTGCTGTGACGGGTCATGTTCTCTTGACATGGGTTAAACTTAGACGTTCTGTTATGATCAAGTTAAACTTCGACGTTGAGCAATGACTAAGTTTTTTAGCGTCGTTGGAATCTTAGGGTCATGGTTACGTGGATGGCATGACCCCCCTTGTTTTTTTTCGGATGACCATGAAATCGACCAAACACATGTGATGGTGTTTCCACATCCAGGAGGATTTCAACTAAACCAAGACGTGTCAGGACACCCTCTTAGGGGCTTCCACTGATAGCCCCTGTTCGAGGTGATTCGGGGGTGTCCATCCACTACCCCTTGTGGCTCCTGGTATTTGTTTTTGAAGCATCCTCCAGTGGCACGCCCAGGTTCCTGGACGCAGGGAGCTCAGCATTGTCTTCGTGACGGACGGAACGGTCAGACGTCACGGATGTTCGGATGTTCATGTTTCATCATGTTTCAATGTTCAGGACCTTCAAGAACCTTGAATATCACAGGTGTCAGAGTAGATGGCACAAGCGATACCGCAAGCTTGGGTGTCTCAGCTTTTGGTGGACCCCCTTTGTGACCTGAGACCAGGACATCTTGGGTGCCATCGACTCTGAAACCCTTGTGAATCCATACAAAGTCTCCCTCCCCAAAGAAAAGAACTCCCCAATCAAATCCACTAAAGCGGAAAAGAACTCTTTCAAAGTCTCCATCTCTCTCTCCCTCCCTCCATGCAAAGTCTCTCCCTGGTTTTCGCTTGGAAAGAGTTCCTTTTTTCCTCCCCTTCATCTTCCGCCCAGGTTCCGCCCAGTCGGTTC